CGGGGGGGGAGTCGGTGACGAATGCAGATCTCGTTTAATAGAAAACAGTGTTAACAAAAATACACGACAGAAAGAAATGACGAACACCAGCAGATCCATGGCCGTAGTGTCAGCGCCGCCGCCCCCCCAGCCGCCCCCGCAGCTCCCTGATAGATTTATTGCACTTAAGAAAGAAAAAAAAAGCGACGCGTCCTCGCCAGCGGACGCCCACCCTGCGCCCAGGGCCACCGCAGCCCCTTCTCCGGCCGGTTTTCCCCAGGGATCCCCCGGGGTTGGGAAGCCGGGACGGGGGATGACGAGGGTCGCGGTGTCCGGCCGGGGAACCGGCTCCTGCTCCCCCCTCGGGGCACCAACGCGCCAAGGGGGTCCCCACCTCGCTGGGAAGACGCCGTGCCGGCACGGCCGGCTGCGAGGAAGCTCCTCTCCCAACCCTGCCCTCTCCCCAGCCCCAAGGGGGGGGTTACATGGTGGGGGGGGCTCCACCAGTGCTGTTTTTTCTGTGTTTCTGGGATATTTTTTTCCAACAGCCCAGGAGCAGGAGCTCGGTTGCAGGTCAGCCCAGAAGGAATTCATTCTAACACCATCCTCTAAATCCCCAACCCAGTAACTTTGCAGCTGAAGATAAATATATACTGAAAACAAAACAAAACAAACAAACAAACAAACGAAAAGGAAAAAGTTTTAAGTTCCAAAAAGGAACTTAAAAAAAAAAAATAAATAACCATTGTGGCTGCGGATGCAGCCTGTCCTGGGTATCTTTAGTGAGCGATGCTCCCCTGGGGTGAGCGATCCTCCTCCCGGCACCTCGGGCCCTGTAGTGTCTGGTTGAGATCTCCCGGTGGGACCGACGCCGCCCCGGCCCCGGCGCGGGGTCTCCTCCTCGCAGAAAGATAGAAAAAGAAAAGGCAAAGGTGTCGGGTGGTGTCGGCGAGGGCAGGGACGGCCGGGAGCCCTGACGTCTCCGTCTCCGTCATTTTCCTCTGCTCTCCTTCCCTTCCCTCCGTGGCCCTGGGGACACAGCGGGGTCCCTCCACGCGTGGGGGGGGGCGAGTCGGGCGCCTGGGGAAGAGTCCGGGGGCAGGAAACTGTTTGGGAATTTTTTTTTTTTTTTTTTAAAAGAACCCTTTGTCCTGAAGCCCGAGGTTGGTTTCTTAGTCGTTGCGTGGAGTAGGAATAGAATAAAGCTACACCGGAGCCTCCCCTCGACACCTGAGGACCTGCAAGAGAGAGGACAGCGAGCGGCAATGGGGTCCCCGTCCCTCCAGGACACCCCCAGGGCTGTCCCCGGGCCCTGTCCCCACTCACCTGCGGTCACAGCAGCTCCTGCCCCGCGTCCTGGCTGGCCTCGAGGAGCAGCTCCTCCAGCTCCCGCTCGTTCTTGGAGCAGCTCAGCTCTGCAAGCAAACAGCCACCGGTTCCCTCACCCGCTTTTTTCCCCCCCCAAAAAAAAAACGCGGGCAGGGGAATGGGGTGTGTTGGCCTGAGCCCAGCAAAGAGGCTCAACGAGCTCATTAACTTCAGCTCCTTCGGGAGCCTGATTAAGGAGGCACTTCAAAGAGCAAAGCCCTCAAGTGTGGGGAGACTCACTTTGGGTTAAAACTCCCCCGGCAACAAATTATGGTGGGCACCCCGTGGGGAAAGCAGCAAGGGGGGATTCAAAGCCCAGGGGAGACACCGGCACAGGGGCCGCCTCCGCACTCATCCCGGGGAATTTTGGGGGGGTCAGGACCCTCGGGACTGGGGGGCTCAGTTCTGGAGCTCTTACCGTGCTCAGCGGCGCAGCTCCCCGTTTTCCCCTCGCCGTCCGAGGCCGCCTCCGGCAGCGCTCGAGCAAAATCCGTCTTCAGCCCGTTGGGGAGGGGGGTGTCGCGGGGGTCTCCCTCCGCGCTGCAGCCGGCAGCGGATTCGGGAACAGCTCCGTTCGCCCGGGGCGCCGGGAGCTGGGGTTTTGCAGCCGGGCTCTGGGGCTCGGTGGGTTTCACCGCGGCGGCACCGGTGTCCTCCCGTGGGCGCGTGGCGTCGGCGGCTCGATCCGGCAGCGTCTCCACTCGCGTCACCGCCGTGCTCTGGGGCTCGGTGGGTTTGGCCGCGGCAGCACCGGTGTCCTCCCGTGGGTGCGCGGCGTCGGCGGCTCGATCCGGCAGCGTCTCCACTCGCGTCACCACGAAGATTTTATGGCCTCGCCCAGGGCTGGAAACCGAAATCCTTCTCTCGTTTCCCTGGGGGGGCGCAGAGGCAGCAGGACTCGGTGATTCCTCGGCGATGCGCAGGGGGGGCGGCCGGTCCTTCGGCTTCTCCGGCGACGGCTGGAGCGTGGCTGCGCCGTCGGCGGAGTCGGGGCGTCCCGGCTGCTCGCTCAAGTCCTTCGTCTCCAACCCGGCGTCCGCCTCCTCGTCTGTGTCTGAATCAGAGTCTGTCACGTCACCTCCATTGTCATCATCGTCCTCCACCGGCTCCGCGTCCCCGTTCTCAGAGGCCGTCAGGGTCTCCCCGGCTTCTTCCCCCTCTTCCAGAGCCGGGGTGGCCCCGCTGTCCCCGCTCTCCTCTGCCAGTCCCTCCTCCAGAGGCTCTGTCACGGTGATCTCCGGCATCGAGGCCGACTGCTGCAGCTTCTGCTCCTTCTCCTCCTTCTCCTTGGCCAGGATGAAGTTGCGCTTGCAGCCGTTCTGGATCTCGGCCAGGAGAGCCTTCTGCGTTTCAATAAAACTTTTTACCTGCGAGGGAAGAGGAACCACCAGTCGTTTGGAACATTCGGAAATCAGCAGTCTGGGAAAAATCAGCTCTGCATCTATTTTCCAGCCAGCCAGACTGTAACAGGGTGGTTTTTATCCTCCACCCCTGTAAGACGTGACCCATGTTTCCCCAAGAAACAATTAAATCTCCTGAGAATTGAGTTTCCCGAGGGCTTCTTCTCAAAGCACCAGGATTGTGGGATCCCCATCCCGGAGGACGCTCAGCGGAGCAGGACCCCGAGGGACAGGTCCTGCTTGGAGCTCCAGAAACCCGTGGTACCTACCGACTCCTTCTTGGGCTCCCTGTCCAAGTCGAGGCGCAGCAGGGAATGGTTGACCTTCAGAGCCAGCGACAAGGCCATGAGCCCCCCCGTCTTGATCTCGTTCTCTCGCAGGTCCAGGCGAAGCAGCCGCGGGCTCTCGGCGATGAATTCGGCCACGGCCACCGCACCTGAGGGGACGGGAGGAGCTGTCGGGGACGGCGGGCAACGAGCCGTGACACCCCCGGTCCCCTGAGGGTGCTCCTCGGGACGGCGTCGAGGGGAGCTCGGTATTTTGGGAGGGATGAGGGATGTCAACACGAGTTGGGTGCCCATTCCCAGGCTCAGAAAAAGGGTTTCTGCGGGGCGCAGAAGACACCAAAATGGGACAAGGTGGCCTTGGATGGGCCAGCTGTGGTGTTTGGGTCGTGTCCCCCATGCAGGGGAGGAGCCCAGCGGGACCAAGCCACCTTCTCCAGGCCCACAGCAGATCCCGTGTGTGGCTGGAGAGCGAGGGGAGCTCTCAGAGCTTTACCCACCTTCGCAGGTCAGTTTGGTGGACGCCAAGCCCAGGCGAAGGACAGAGCGGTTCCCGATCAGCCCGTTCTTCAGGTTGCGGACGCCTTCGTTCCCGATGGGGTTGTGGCCCAAGTTCAAGGTCTCCAGGCTCTGAGTGTGAGGCTGCGGGTACCCAGGGGGGGAAAAAGAGCTGGAGGTGGACGGGACAGCGGCTCCATCTCAAGCCCGAGTGGGTTTAATTGAGGGCTGTTCCCCTAATTGCGCTGCCGGGGACGCCTGAGCAGCAGCGCAGGGGGACAAGGGACAGGAGAGAGGTCTCTCCTGGGATCAAAGCCCATCGCCCCCAGGAAGGTGCCGAGAGCTACTCACCAGCGTCATCCCCAGATAGGCCATGCCGGTGTGAGTCAGCTGGTTGTTCCACAAAACCAGAGTGACCAGCCCTTTCCGCTGCTCCTTCAGCCCTTCGCAGATGTACGCCAAGCCTGGAAAACAGCCGGGGCTCAGCCCTCCCCCCCCGTCAGCCCCCATCCTGACGCCTCTCCCGGCGCTTTCCTCGCCCGCTCCGCTCCAACCCTCCGCTCCGGCGCTGCCTGATCCCGGGCAGAGAGAGGGAAAAGCCCTGGCATCGTTACACCGAGCTCCGGTGTCGGCACCAAACACTGTCCCCCCTCCAAACCCCTTCCCCCGGCTGCTGGATTTGGCGAAGCATCGCTCCTGCTTGTGCAAACTGGCAATTAAACCTCCTGAAATTAATTAGCGCCAGGCTTCGGGGCTTCTGAGACACAAACCCCAGAGACACGGGGTGGTGGAGCTGCTTGTAGAGGGAGACCCTCCACCACTCCGTCCACCATCCTGCCTGGGCTGAGGGGAAGGTTTGGTTTAAAATCACTGCCAATACCCGTATTTGATAAGGGCAGAGCGCCCCGACACCAGCGCCGCTGCGGAACCCACAGCAACACCCAGAAGCCATTCCCAGCACGTCCAGCCCCAGCACCGCTCGTTATTAAGCACCCAAAGACGCGAGGGACGTGGCAGCTGACCTGGGATGGCAGCAAATTAATATTTGCACCCGAGGGTGGGACCCATCCAGGAGCAGAGGTGGCCACAACAGCGCCCATGACATCCAACACGGTCATGCTCAGCTGCTTTTATCCCCAACCTGAAGACAGCCGGGATGACTCGTGCCCAGCAAAGGCATCTCCTCCACCAAACCATGGCTGAGCCATCGGCGTCGCCGACCAGAACCAGCCAGGACTGGGATTGTGTCTGGGATTGTGCAATTCCTGGGTCGATATTAGATTTGGCTGCTTGTTTGGCTCCAGGGAAAGAGGAGGAGAAAAACTAGATGGGAGCAAGAGATGGAGGGAGCCAAAAGATGCGACGGCGAGGCACAAGGAGCTCCCACCTCCCCCTGCCTTTGGGAGCTGCCCCTCGCCTCGCAGCCTGGCCCGGGAGGCAATCAGAGTTTCTCTTAATGATCTTAGCTTTAAAATCGAGCAGCTCACCCTGCCAAAAACCTTTGGACAACGTTGAAGCTTCTCTGCTCAACCCTCCTGCTTCAGCTCAGCTTGGAGCCACCCCCTCTTCCCCAGCTCTGCACCCCCCATTCGAATTCCTCCCCACCTTAAAACTGGGTGAAAAACGCAGGGAATCGGGGCTCTGCCCAAAGGGGCGGCGAGGGGCCCCACCTGAGTCCAGGATGTGGTTGTTCCTCAGGTCGAGTATCTGTATGTAGCAGTTGAATTTCAGCAGGTTGCCGAGCTGCGCCGAGTCCTGCAGCCCGTTCAGCTTGTTATCGGCCAGGTACAGCTCCCGCAGGTTCATGTTCATCTTCAGAGCCGTGGCTGAAAGGGTGGGACACGGGGGGAAAGCCCCCAGTGGGTTTCAGTGGCCTTTGGCCAGCAGCAGGATCCCCCACCAGCCCCTCTGTGCCCTCCCGCCGCGGGGAGAAGCTGCGGTGGCTCGTGCCGCGGTGGCAGGGACCAGCACCGGTGCCTGATCCCGCTGCCCTCCCCAGCACCTTGCCTTTTCCCAGTTGGGCCAACCTAATAAACCATTAAACCCGGCATCGAGCGTCACAGAATCAGAGAATCACAGAATCCTCTAGGTTGGAAGGGACCTTAAAGATCATCTTGTCCAACCGTCAACCCAACTGACAAAAATAGACACCCACACAACAAACAAGGAGCATCATCACTAAACCAAACCTCCCAGCACTACATCAACCTGTCTTTTGAACACCTCCAGGGATGGTGCCTCACCCACCTCCCTGGGCAGCCCATTCCAAGGGCTGAGAACCCTTTCAGTGAAAAAATTTTTCCTAATATCCAGCCTGAACCTCCCCTGGCGCAACTTGAGGCCATTTCCTCTAGTCCTGTCGCCTGTGACTTGAGAAAAGAGACCGACCCCCCCATCTCTACCCCCTCCTTTCAGGGAGTTGTAGAGTCCCAAAACCCCAGGAGACGGCGAGCCCAGCGTTGGCCCCGCGCAGCTGGGACCCCCCGGGGGTTTTTGGGGGATGGGGCCCGCCGAAACCCCAGGAGACGGCGAGCCCAGTGTTGGCCCCGCGCAGCCGGGACCCCCCGGGGGTTTTTGGGGGATGGGGCCCGCTCTCCAGGGACTCACCCAGCAGCATGAGGGGGCGTCCCGAGAGGCTGGCGTTCTCCAGGTGCAGGACCACCAGGCTGCTGCTGATGCGCAGGGCACGGGCCACGAAGGGGGCTGAGTGGTCCAGCAAAGGCGTGTTTCGGGCGTCCAGGTACTGCAGGCAGTTCGTCTGGGAGGGAGACACAAGAAGGATCAGGATTTGGCCCCGCACGGCCTCAGCCAGCTCTTTTTTGGCTGTTTTTCTAGGTCAGGTTTAAGACTGCCCAGATAAGAGCTCCTGGGATGACTTATGCCCACCCAACACATGGCTTTGGTCGCCCCACCGGCTGCAGATAAGAGGAAAGAGCCAGAAGGAGCAGCTGAGATAACCCCGTGCGCTGGGACAGCCCATGCTGAGCTCCAGGCTCCAGGTTTTATTCCAGATAAACACTTTATCTCTTGGAAAATCACCTCCGCGCCCGTCTGCCATCACCCTCACCCTGGAGCTACGGTGCCAGAGAGGATGCCCTTCAGGGGAACCACAGCAGCATCACATTCTCCAAAGAAAAGCTTCCCTCATCCTTAGGCACCCGAGGACACCTTATGAATGCTGACAAGTGTCTCAAGGGTGGGCTGAAGGAGGAGGGAGCCTAATGCTGATAAGTGTCTCAAGGGTGGGCTGAAGGAGGGAGCCAGACTCTTTTCAGTGGTTCCCAGTGAGAGGACGAGGGGCAACGGGCACAAGTTGGACCAGAAGAGGTTCCACTCAAATGTGAGGAGAAACTTCTTCACGGTGAGGGTGGCAGAGCCCTGGCAGAGGCTGCCCAGGGAGGGTGTGGAGTCCCCTTCTTTGGAGATCTTCAAGACCCACCTGGATGCTCCTGAGGAACATGCTCTGACAAGCTCTAGGCAATCCTGCTTCAGCAGGGGAGTTGGACTAGATGATCTCTAAGGTCCCTTCCAACTCTACAAATTCAGTGAAATTCAGTGATGCTGCCCTGAGCTCCCCAGGTCTGGGAAGGCACCGAGCCACGTGTCCCTTGGCCTGGGGTTTGCCTCCGAGCCCTCAGAACCTTCCCTGGCTTCACAGCTGCCCTGAGCTCTCCAGGTCTGGGAAGGCACCGAGCCACATGTCCCTTGGCCTGGGGTTTGCCCCCGAGCCCTCAGAACCTTCCCTGGCTTCACACACACAGTTTGTTCCTGCTCCAGACACACAACAGAGCCTGTGTTTGGCTGATTTACCATTTTCTGTGCTAATTTGTTATTATTATGTTGTTAAACATCCGGATTCTCCCTTGAATACCCAGAAATTAAGACCCCAAAAGCCACAGCTGTCCCCAGGGTGTCTTGAGCTCCTCCGAGCTGGTTTAGAGCATCCTTACGGGGCCGGCCAGCACCGTGTGGTGACATTTGGCTTCTCCCAACCACGAGGTGGGCACTGCCCGGGCTCTGCTGCCCGGTACCAGCCCCGTGGTGAAGCTGCCTGCGTGGTGGGGAAGGCTGTGGACATGCAGGCTTTCCACCCAGGCGTCGTGCGAATTAAGTTCATCTTAATTTGGGCGCTGGGTGAAACCTCGGCAGCGCCGAAATGCAAAGGAGGAGGATGAGGAGGTAATTGGGAGGATGGAGGGTGGTTTACGCGCCGCGCCCCGAGCGGGAAGCACGAGACGCTGCCTCCTCCTCGCTCCGAGCCAACTCAAGGGCTGAACAATGAGGTTAATTAAGCTCCTCAAAGCCAAACAGCAGCGCCAGTCATCCTGCTGCAAAGATAATGAATACTCAGCTCCAGAAGCTGACCCTGCGAGCGTGCCACTAATAATAGCCTGCTCTTTTTGCTGCATTTCTATTTTCTCCGCTCCGGGTGCTCACCACGGCGTTAAGTAACCTCGTGGCAGGTGGGAAAAGTGATTATTATTATTTTTTTCCTGCCTCCAAGCCCAGGCTCACCGGGTCTTTCTGAAGGGGGTGGTTTTCCAGACAGGGGAGCACAAAACCACCCCGACGGTCTCGGGAGGGCACAGGGGAGCCTTTGGAGACCATCTGTGTAGTCACAGGGGGGTTAAAGCGGGTGCCAAAAATATTTGTGAGGGGGCACAAACCTTCCTCATCATGTGGGCGGCCGCCTGCCAGCCCCGGGTGCCGATGTGCTTGTTGAAGGAGATGTTGAGGTGCGTGGCCGACTCGTAATACTCGATCATGTCAAACAACGCCGAGGCGCCCTGCGAGACAAAGGCAGACAGAAAGGCTGTGTGAAGTTTGGTGGGGTTTGAGAAGGGAAAAAAAGAGGGTTTTGCTGTCTCTCCAGCCTCTTCGAGGGACTCTCTGCAGATTTGCTGCCAATGGGTAATCTAGGAAGAAAAAATAAAAGGCTTCTCGCCAGATTCCTGGTGTCCCCACCACCGGGAACGTGCTCGGGGACCATCAAGGGGCAGATGGGAGACGGGGAGACCTGGCACGGGATGAAGGCTCCGGCGCAGCCATCCCTGCCCCAAGGCTGTGCCGGCAGAGCTGCCTCCTGGGACACAGCCTTTGGGTGAAGATTTCCAGGAATGAGCCTGAGATGGCACCTTCTGGAGGGATTCAACCCCCAGGATTCTCTCCCAGGCACCGGCAGAGAAAGCCAACTTGGCCAGAGCTGGTTTATGGCACTCGGGACACGTGGGCGCTTAAACGACACCTCCCAGGACACAGGAAAATGGTTTTCTTTCCTGGATATTCAACCTGAGCCGAGGCCGGGCTCTGGGCTTGGTGTCCATCTGCTCCCTGGGGGGTCACCCAGCCCCGCACGCAGCCCCGACACTTCCACAGCCAAGAAACCAGCCCCATAATCCAATCAGGCTTAAAAACCCCAAAAAGGCAGGTATAAAAAAGCCAAGACTTATAGCAGGGTTAGGAGTGAAAGGGATCAGCAGAGCAGGACTCGTGCCCAGGAAACGTCTCCAAGTCCTACGGCAGAAGCGGAACAATTTGCTTAATTACATAATGAGCCTCTTTAGAGAAAATTAGCTGAAACATATGCTGGAGCAGGCAGAGAAGAACCAAAAAGGTGCTGCAAGGCTTCCAGAAAAAAATATGCAGAGAGACCTGGAGGACTGGAAAACTCAGCACAAAGGCAAACAGGAGAAAGAACAGGTCTTTGGGGAACAACAGGACTTTCTGCTGGGCACGGGGCGCTCAGCGGCAGGAAACGAGGAGGAGAAGAAACTGGGCAGCGGGTGAGTAAGTCGTGACGCAGGAGGGAGAAAAAGCTGCTGCTGCTGAATGAAGGGGAGGGACAGGGACCCAGTGGACAAGGTAGGAAAAAACAAGAGCCTTGAAGACACGAGGACTTGAAAGGGGATGCTCCGGAGGCAAGGGGAACTCAGGCTCAGAGCCAGCTAAAATAATTTTTAACCACTTCCTTAATTTTTAACCTCCTCCTCTTACCCGCTGGGACCTGAACTCAGGGCCCCGGGCATCACGAGGGAGGAGGAAGGCGGGACGGGACGTGCAGAAGGGAGCCTGGACTTCATCCTCAGCCCCCAAAAAGCCACAATTTCCCCGGCTTTCAGAACAGCTTCTAAAAATATGCATTTAAAATGCCTTGGAGCTTCGTGGCCCCCCCAGGCTTCAGAGCAAAGGGTCAACCTCTTCCTTTTGGAGCAGCAAACGCTGCGCCAGCAGAGCTCCATACGAGTGTGGGTATGAAGGGAACAGGCACAGCAACACAGTTTAGCCCCCAAAAATAAATCAGTGCCCAGGAGGAGCTAAGGAGTGACCACAAAACCCGTGAGGTTTGTGTCAGCTGCAAAACAGGAACCAGAATCTGAGAGTGGTCACGACGACTTACGTCTTCATCCAAGCTTGTTTGCTCCAAATCAACAATTTTGAACTGGACCCGCTTGAAAATTTCTTCCAGGGCCTCGCAGGCTTTGTAATCCAGCTTCTCCCCTGGGGAAAGAGCAGAACAGGGTGAATTTGGGTGCTTCAGCACGTGACACGCAGAGTGTGTACAACTGCCAGCTCGAGAGCCCTGAGCTGCAGGACAGAGGACACGGGGAAAGGTGACGTTCTGCCCCGTTGGGAGGCAGCCCACCCTCCAGACAACCCGCCTGAGGGGAAATCCAAACCCATCGATCTGTGCCCACACGCCTGGCCCAGCATCACCTCAGATGAGCAGTCAGATGGAGAGAGAGCTGAGAGCCTGTGGGTGAGGGTGAAGGGAGAGGCCAATGTGAGGGACCCTGCTCTGGGTGTTCAGTACAGGCCACCCAATGAGGATGGGGAACTTCAACCACCCTGAGATCTGCTGGGAAGGCTACACAGCCAGGCATCTACACTCCAGGAGGTTCCTCTAGTGTATTGATGATAACTTCTTACCTCAGCTGGTGGAGGAGCCAAGGAGGAGAAGCACTACTGGACAAACAAAGAGGGACTGGTGGAGGACATTAGAGAAGCACTACTGGACAAACAAAGAGGACTGGTGGAGGACATTAAGGTAGGGGGCAACCTTGGTTGCAGAGCCCATGGGAAAATAGAGTTCAGGATCGTTGGTGGTACACACAAACCAACAAGTAGGACCGAAACCTTGGATTTCAGGAGGGGTAACTTCGACCTCTTCAAGAAAGGGCTAGGAGAAATCCCATGGGACAGGGCTCTGGAAGGTAGGGGGGCTCACGAGTCCATGGAAAAATAGAGTTCAGGATCGTTGGTGGTACACACAAACCAACAAGTAGGACCGAAACATTGGATTTCAGGAGGGGTAACTTCGACCTCTTCAAGAAAGGGCTAGGAGAAATCCCATGGGACAGGGCTCTGGAAGGTAGGGGGGCTCACGAGAGCTGGTCGATATTCAACCATCGCTTTCTCCAAGCTCAGGATCGGTGCACCATCACTTTCTCCAAGCTCAGGATCGGTGCATCCCTAAGAGCACGAAATCAGGCAAGGGAAGCAGGAGAGCTGGTGGTTGAGCAGGGAGCTTCTGAAAAAACTCAAGAGGAAGAAGGAAGTTTACAATGAGTGGAAGAAGGGACTGACCAGTTGGGAAGATGACAAGAATGCCGTTGGAGTGTGCAGGGATGAAACGAGGAAAGCCAAGGCTCCTTGGAATTAAAATTGGCAACGGATGTCAAAGTCAACAAGAAGGTTTTTTTTTCAAATATCTTGAAGGCAAACTAGAGAAAATGTGGGCCCGCTGTTGAACGAGATGGGTGCCCTGGTGACAGAGGATGCAGAGAAGGTGGAGTTGCCAAATGCTTTCTTTGCTTCAGTCTTTACTGCTCAGGCCAGCCCTCAGGAGCCACAGAATTTGGAAGAATCAGAGAAAGTCTGGACAAAGGAAGCCCTTCCCTTGGTGGAGGAAGACCAAGTTAAGGAGCAGTTAAGTACACTGGATATCCACAAATCCATGGGTCCTGATGGGATGCACCCACGAGCGCTGAGGGAGCTGGGAGAAGTCATTGCTGAGCTGCTCTCCATCATCTTCGAAAGGTCCTGGAGAACAGGCGAGGTGCCTGAGGACTGGAGGAAAGCCAGTGTCATCCCAGTCTTCAAAAAGGGCAAGAAGGAGGACCTGGGAAACTACAGGCCGGTCAGCCTCACCTCCATCCCTGGAAAGGTGATGGAATGACTCATTCTGGGCGTCATCTCAAAGCATATGGAGGAAAAGCAAGCTATCAGAAGTAGTCAACACAGATTCACCAAGGGGAAATCATGTCTGACTAACGTGACAGCCTTCCGTGATGGTATGACTGGATGAGGGGAAGGCGGTGGATGGTGTCTACCTTGACTTCAGCAAGGCTTTGGACAGTCTCCCACAGCATCCTCATAGGTGAGCTGAGGACATGTGGGTTAGAAGAATGGAGAGTGAGGTGGATTGAAAACTGGCTGGAAGACATTGCTCAGAGGGTTGTTCTTAGGGGCACAGAATCCAGTTGGAGGTCTGTACCCACTGGTGTTCCCCAGGGGTCAGTCCTGGGTCCAGTCCTCTTCAATATATTCATGGATGACCTGGATGAAGGGATGGAATGTCCCCTCAGCCTTCTGTGCTGCCATCCAGTGAGACCTGGGCAGGCTGGAGAGTTGGGCAGAGAGGAACTTGATGTTCTTCAATAAAGGCAAGTGTAGGGTCCTGCCCTTGGGGAGAAATAGCCCCCTGCACCAGGACAGGTTGGGGGTGACCTGCTGGAGAGCAGCTCTGAGGAGAAAGACCTGGGAGTCCTGGTGGACAACAGGATGCCCATGAGTCAACAATGTGCCCTTGTGGCCAAGAAGGCCAATGGCATCCTGGGGGGCATCAGGAAGAGGGTGACCAGCAGGTCCAGGGAGGTCATCCTGTCCCTCTGCTCTGCCCTGGGGAGGCCCCAGCTGGAGCACTGGGACCAGTTCTGGGCTCCCCAGTTCCAGAAGGACAGGGAACTGCTCCAGAGGGGACAGCAGAGGCTACAGAGATGATGAGGGGCCTGGAGCATCTCTCCAATGAGGAGAGGCTGAGGGACTTGGGGCTTTTGAGTCTGGAGAAGATTGAGGGGGGGATCTGATCAACACCTATAAATAATTAAAGGATGGGTGTCAGGAGGACGGGGCTGTTCCCAGTGGTGCCCAGGGACAGGACAAGAGGAAATGGGCACAAACTTGAACATAAGAAGTTCCACCTAAAGGTGAGGAGGAACTTGTTGACTTTGAGGGTGGCAGAGCCCTGGCAGAGGCTGCCCAGGGAGGTGGTGGGGTCTCCTTCTCTGGAGACATTCAACCCTGGCCTGGACACGTTCCTGTGGGACCTGCTCTGGGTGGACCTGCTCTGGCAGGGGGTTGGACTAGATGATCTCCAGAGGTCCCTTCCAACCCCAAGTGATTCTATGAGCATTTATCATTAACAGATGGGGACTGGCCACCGAAAGCAGCAGCGTGGCTCACCAGCAGCTCCACCAGCCAGGAGAGGGATCTGCTGGGAGCCTTCAGAAAGGATGCCTCTTGCTCAGTACCACGCAGCAAGCTCAGAGGATTTTGGAAATCCAGCTAAAAGCCACCGTGGTTGCTCAACCAACACATCAGGCACAGCTGTGAAGCTTTTGCTGCCTAAAACTCACCGAAACCCGGGATGCCTGTCTCCCCACGGGGCAGACCGAGGTCTTCCCGACGCGCGTCTCGGCTGGCTAACGGCTTTTGCCACATTAAAGTGCCACGGGGTCAAAATTAAACCCCTGCACGTGCACTGTGAACAGCCACGCTGCTTCCACGCCTCTGGAAAATTGTATTATCCATCTATCAGTTTAGGAAGGTGCTGGCACAAGGCGCCTTAAGACCATTTCCCAAGACTTTGGGCTTTTTGTTTGCTTATTTTATTCGCTTATTTCCTAGAACCATCCTCAGCAGCCCCGTGGCACCACTTTATGGGGCTGTGTCTCTCCCCAACCCGCTCCACAAGCTCCTTGTGGCTGAGAAACGGGGAGCTTTCCCCCATCAGCATCTGCGTTGGCTGCTTTTCGATGCCGCGTCGATCGCCAGCGGGTGGTTCTGCCAGGCAAACCGAATTTGAGGAGGAGCTGCAGAGGAGGAGGGTGGAAGCTCTGCCTTTTCCTCCCAAGGCCAGCAGATCCCACATCCCCCGTACAGCAGCACCGGATTTGGAGCACCATCGCTGCAACCCCACCGACCCCCTCCGGAGCACTGGAAGATGAAAGCGCAGCAGCAAAACGTTGCCCATCGGGGTCTCCAGCAGCTCCGTCTGCCCGTGTCCCACCGACACCTCCCTGGCTGCTGTGGCCTCATCAGTGAAGGCGACAGCGATGGGGAACCAGCCTCTGCTTCCCAAATAAATTGCCCTTTCCACGCCGAGCTGGGAATTCACTCCGTAAGACCAGAATCATAGAATTGCTTAGGTTGGAAAAATATTTAAGATCGAGTCCAGGGTGAGCTGCGATCCCTCGTCACCTCCCTCCCATGTCTGGAAGTGGGAGGAGGTCACATCTGGTACCAGCCCGAGGGAAAGAGTGGAAAATAGCTTAAAATAGTCACCCCGCTTTGTTTGTGTTGTAATAACCCTTGTGAGGGGGATCTGGGCGGAGGAGAAGCGGCTGCACGGCGCAAGGCAACTGCTGGGGAGGAGGCCAAGGGTCCCTGAGGTATTTTATCCTGTACAACGGCACAAAGTGACCAGCAGCTGGGCTTCTGAGTCTTCTGAGAAACCCCCGCTCCTCAGGGAAGGGGGACACGGGCTCTGGCTGCTGGATTGGTAAGAAGTCCAAGAAAAATTCCCATCTGGCAAAGCTGACTCCAAACGATGGCGTTTTCTGGGGTTTGTTACCAGCAGCTCTCGAGTTGTTCCCCAGCAGATCATCCCATCCTCTCCCCAGCTGTTCTGGGGGAGCAACACCATCACCATCCTCACCCAAAAGGCTCTGGCCAATGTGGACCATCCCATCCTCTCCCCAGCTGCACGGAGGGAACATCCCTGCCACACAGCTGCTCTGGCTGCCGGTCCCCACGCTGTTTTTGGGAGGCATCCCCTGGCACAGAGTGGGTAGAGGCTCTTCAGGAAGGGAAGGAGATGGGCAGAAGGCAGGAGGAGAGGCAGCCACTGGCTGCAAGAAGCCCCCATAGAATCTTTGCCTAGCAGAGACCTCGCAGGGAAGTGAAAACGACCTTCTTCCTCTCCTTCCTGGAGCCACAGGAGATGCTCCACAAAAGCCATCGTTCACCAAGATGTTTGCTGGAAGGAGAATTAACTGGAACACCTTTCCAGCTTTCCCATCACACGAGGAGTTTCGAGACATCGATCAGAAAAGTCTTCTGGCAAAACCTGCTCCAGCCCTGCACAGCCCCAAGGAGCCATTTCGGGAGGCCAGGGTATGAGGACGGGGCTCTGAGGTGCAGGGGACAGTCTGCTGTGCTGGCAGCTGGCATCTCAGGTCCTTCTGCTGCTGTTTCAGGGCTTCTCAACCAGGATGTTAATATTCCTCGTGCAGAAACACCTCTGGTACTTACTTTTCTGCTCTTGCTGGGATCAAGGCTCTGGCCCGCAGGAGCCCTGACAGGGACCACGGCTCCAATGGAACAAAACACCAGGATGGCCCAGGAGAGAAGTAAAATCCCCCAGTGATGGAAAAGGGACTCACCTTTCAGATCTAAGCAGTCTATCCTGGGAGCCAGATCTTTAAATTCCTGCAAAAGAAAAAGCAGCGTTTCCTACTCAGGAGGAGCAAGGCAGGGGAGGAGGGGAGGAGAATTAACGAGCTGGAATAACGAGGTAGCATGACAAATTGGGCAAATCCTCCCCCAAAAAGAGAGGAGATGGGAACTCTTGAGATCAAAGCTGCCGCTTTGCAGGCTGGATTCGTGGGAGACATCTCCCCATCCCGTGGATTCGGGAGAACTGGTGACCCTGCCTGGAGCCCTGTGAGGAAGGTGACGAAGATGAGGCTCCGCACACGGAGGCTGAACCAGGGGAAGGCAGAGAGGATGAAAAAGCAAAAAGTCTTCCCTTCCAGGCCAAGGGAAGATCTTTAACTATTGTGCTCCTGGGCCTGAGAATTTAAATGGGACTTTTATTCCCTCCCATGTGAGCAGGGAAAACCACAGCCCTCGTCGCCATCTCCCTGCGGGCTTCCCTCCCACCGCTGCCTGCGCAGTTTTCCATGGAAAATAACATCCCAGGCTTTGCCAACCAGCCCATCCAGGTCTCATCCCTCAGCTCGAAGGGGACAGTGGGGACCCCAGAGCCCGCACTGGGGAGCCAGAGGAGGCAGACCCAGCGAAAGCAGGGCAAGAACAGGGTCTGGCAGCACTTTAAATCACACATAATATTGTGTGAGCAAGATCCTTCGCTTTCGCTCTCTGCAACGAGCTTCATCTGTGCAGAAACCTGTGCTTGTGCTACGAAAACAAGTCTTTGTTCCTCTCTGACGTGCCAGTGACTGTAAAAGTCCACGGCGAGAGGTGTAACAAAGGGGTGTATTTGTTCCTTTGGCACCAGCTGTACCTGTATCTGCTTCAGTAGTTTGGGAATCTGCTTGCAGTTGAGCTTCTGGCAGGCTTGCTTGTAGGCGGCCATGATCTCATCCACAGTCACGTTCTGGGCTGAAAAAGGTACAAGGGTAAGAATTGGGATCAGGGTGGTATTTGCAGGAATGGACACGTCCGCGTTATCCCCCCTTCCCCGTGTCCACATCCACGTGTCAGACGGAGCCACCCGCCGGGATTTCCACCCGGCAGAGGAGCCTGCAGGGAGATTACAAGGATTAAGGATGTTCCAACGCAAAGGGACAAAGCAAAACCCGAGTAAGATTTGCTTGAACACGTCCACGGCAGCAAGCCCTGTCTTGCTCAGGCAGAAAAGGGGCCAGAAAAGTGCAGGCGGCACCTCCTGCCTCCTCCAGCCGTGCTTTGGCACAAAAGCTGTCATTTTGGGAACGGAAAAGCTTGTAGAAAAGAGGCCCAGGATGACAAACCCCAACCCCTCTCAGTAGGTGGGGGTGTAAATTGTGCTGTTAAATACGTTCCTCTGGCTTTTAATTTCACTCAACTTTGTGTTTTCACTCAATGGGTTGGTGATCGTCACGCGGGCACGGAGCCGGACGCGGCACATCCACCCCCACCGATAACCCCAGATTTTCCTTATAACCCCAGATTTTCCCTAATCGGCTTCCGCAGGCAGCCGGGGCGCTGCTCAGATTGCTCGGGGCTCAACCTGAGCCAGCCAGACACCGGCTCCAATCTCCCGGAGCTGTCGTCCTCCGGCAAACGAATCTTCCAAATTCATCCCATCCCGGTTGGGAAGCCGTGGGAAGGGTGTTCCGTTGCCGTCACCGCTCGGCTCCCAGCACCATTTCCTCACTGCTCCTGCCTGCCCTGAGTCAGGGGCGAAGCCGCCGCTCCGGATGCCGGGGAAGCCGCGGCGGGAGCTGCTGCGGGGTCATTATCCACGTGAGATGGTGCCCACCTCCGCCTCTGGTTCCGAGATCGGCCCCGACAAACGCGAAAGCCATCCCCGGTCAGAAGATGATCTGGAGAAACCAGATTCCCCAGGAACCTCATCGGGCTGGTTGCACGAAGCAACCCCCCCCCCATCCCCGTCCCTGAGGATTACGACATCCAGAGGGCTCAATAAAAACCTAAACACTCTACCAGCTGTGAAAAAAAAAAAAATTAATAAAAAAAAAGGCTATTTTAATCTTCTCCCTGTTCACAAGGAACCCGTTGGGGGCATCTCTGCAGCAGGATGTGGTCAGAGCAACATGTGGCAGAGGCAATGCCAAGCCCTGGCTCAGCTGCACCACCTAGAAATGGGTTTTGGGCAGTTTTTAACCCCAAGACCCTTCCCAGGCCACCACGGCGAGGTTTGCGGGGACACCACCGCCAGCCCAGCAAAGCAGCCAAGGTTTAAACACACCCCAAGCAAGTGCTTAACGAGAGGAGACCTAAGAAGGGCTTTCACACCCCAAAAAGCCCCATGAGCCAGAAACCACTTGCTCCTCCGAAGCGACGTGGGGATGCGCTGGGTGTCGATTCCCCGGGAGAAGAATCCACCGAGGCCAAGTGAGCCCCACGTCTACAAGAAACCAAAAAGGAGAGCTCTTACGGTGAGCAAGGGGATCAGCAGCACACAGCAACGTTCCTGGTCCCATCTACCACGTGAATGCTTTCCTCAAAAAAAATTAAGTGTGATTTTGGGAAAGCGAGGAGAGCAAAGCAGAGCCATCGCTGTCCTAATGCGGACGAGCGTCCTGGGGGTGCAAGAGCACCCACCAACCCGGCTCTGGAACGTCCCGGCTGAAGGACTTCTCCCCAGATCTGAACTCAAGGACACTTTGCTAATCCAGTTTTTATTAGTTCCTGCCAGTGAAATGCTTTGGTTTGCCCTCTCCTGGGTGGCAACCCTAAATTTTAACAACACTCGTGGCTGGAGGATGAGGATTTGCTTCCGCTTCCTTCCACACACATCCTGGCACATCTCCATTCCCGCCTCGCTGGAAATCAGTGGGAAGAAGTCAGAGGTCCCGCCGTCCTCTTGAGCTGCTTCCAACCTCCTCCTTCCCCCAGAGACGTGCCCCGAGAAGCTCCCCGTCCTGCACAAGCTGAGATCTGTGGTGCACGAGGACGGCAGAGACTCCCCGTTCCCAAAGAACATCTCAGGATGGTTTCATCCACGCCGTTCAACGCTCATGGGTGGATGCAGACCACCAGTGGACCTCTCACTGGCAACTCCTGAGTCTCCTCCCGCTTCACCACCAGTGCCGAGTCCCTTCCCACCTCCTGGGTGAGCACCCAGAGCTCCCGCATCTGCCGGGCACCAGAAAACACCCCGAGTTGAACCCCAGAATCAGAACCACTCGTGTGGGCACCGTACGGGCAAGACCAAGAACACTGGTGAGCCTGGCACCGCTCCGTACGTCCCCTCAACGGCGTCCCTGTGGCATTTCTGGCACGAGAACATCCGTAAGCCTTCCACAGCGGCTCCGCATCGTCCTGGGGGTGCTGCTGGTAGGAGCAGTTGGTATTTGGTCTTGGTTTTGCTCTTCTGAAGCCTTTAAGAAGCTGAAACGCCAACATCGAGCAGTGGTTCTTCTTCCTGCAAGGCTTGGCCTTTGCTCCGCAGCCGCTGCGCTCTTCCAGGACTCAGATCCATGGAAAACGTTCTTACTTTTCCCAACCAACGCATCCCGAGACCCTCTGAGGGAATTTCCTTGCTAGATATCCGGGGTTTTAATTAAAAAAGCTCTTCACGGTGTTTTTTAGAGCATCCCATCCCCGCTCCCCCTTGGCAAAGGGCCGCTCTCCCATTCGTTTGTGCTAACGAAGCCCGCAAGGTCAATATTAATATTTCCTGTTCGAGCTCTGTCTTGCGGCTCAGCGGCAAATATTTGCGGTGCCTGTAACACCTGCCTTCAAAAAACCCTTGAAATTTCTGGGCAAAGCCTTTTTTTTTGTGGCAGGGGAGGGCTGACGCCCATCCCACAGCACGGCAGGTATTTGTCAGGGGTTTGACGCCGCCGTCGCCGTCCGTAAAACACAGCAGAGCTGGTTCTGCCAACAGCTTTGATAAAACACACATTGACACACGGGGGGGCAGGTGACTCGGGCAAGCAAAGCCCGGCTGGAATTACCCAGGGCTTCAAATATCTGCTTTTAGAAAGGGCAGGTTTCCATTCGGAGCATCCCCAAGGACATCCCGGATCCCTCCCCCCTTTCCTTAAAGGCTGTCCCCAAAATATTCACGTTAAAGGACAAAATGAGATGGAAACCAGAGCTCATCTCCCCCAGGAGACCGGCGAGACTGCACCACCTTTCCCTCAGGAAGAACTAAGGTTTATTTCCCAAATGACGATGGGCTTTGGTCCCGCTCGTGTCCCGACCCCCTCTGCGCTAATATCCCCAAACAGAATTAACTACCTTATTAATTAATCTCCTTATTATTGCCTGGCGGATTAAGATCCGAGGAGAGACAAGGAGGGTATTTCTCAACCTCCTGTGTATCTCAGTGTGGTTCATCCAATAATTTTCTACTAATTTTCGCCCACGGCTCCTGGCAGAAGCGGCCGCCGGCTCCACCGGGAGCTGCTCCAGCGACTGGAAAACACCGACCGCGGCTGCTCAGCCCACGAGGCACCGGCAGAGAGCCTTGGAAATTCAGGAAAAAAACACCCAGAAAGGGTCACGGATGAAATTTAAAATGCAAATAATGCTTCTTTCTGCAAAAGGCAACAACAGCCTCGCGCCGCTCTCCTCCTCCTGGTCACCAAAAACACTTTTACACCTGTTTTGCCCTTAACGACTGTGTTTACAGGGTTTTCCCATTAAAGTCCGGCGTTTCCGTGTCCGTACCCGCTCTGCCCACGGCGGGTTTTGCTCCTTTGTCCACATCCAGGATGACACGGCACCAAAGCAAACAGGTTGTTATTAATTAACGGGCGGTGTTGTTCCAGCTGCAGCCAGCTCATCTTCCCGGAGACAAAAAGAAGAGAAAAGCTGATTTTTCACAGGCTCACGCCACATTTCGCTTAGTTTTGCCGTGGGCAGCGTCCCTGTCCCGGCGCTGCTCCAGGAGAGCATCCCAAAATGCCATCAGGAGAGGAAAAGGCGGTGACCTGACTGCGATCTGCCCAAAGGATTTACCTCCATCCCCAGGGGCACCAAATGAGGTCTCTCTCGCTCTTTGCTCCGCTCGGGAGGGTCCTGCTGCTGCTTCTCCTGGGCGAAGCTCCACGAACCCTCTTCCCACGCGAGGGGAAGAGCAGCTGGAAGAAAACTGGCTTTAAAAGAGAATCCCCAGCAGAGAGTTCATCACTGGCATTCGAGCGGCTCCTTCGCTCTCAGGCCGGCGGCGCTTGACGCGGGGAGAAGCCGGTGTCACCCCGACACCTGGATTTGCTCTTCCTCCAGCAAAGGCCACCGGGTCCCACAGTTTTGGGGAACGGCACCCACCAGCTGGGGGGCAAATGGAGCTTCTCCACCCGAGGGCAGCGGGTGTCCCCCCCCAGTGCCAGCAGCGAGCCAGGCCTCCTCGCTGCCACGGTGGCGGACAAAACCCAACACACCAAGAACCAGACCACTCATGACGGCAGGACTTCACCAGCGTGACACCACTGGAGCTTTCACCCCTGATTTCCACACCTGCTCCTCTGTCACACTGCTGCAAACCCGGCTGTATCCCGGGGAATCCGGGGAAGACACCTCTCCCCTCCCAGGCTTTCCCCCAGCAATGGCAGAGACACGTCTTGATGGCAGCGAAGCCTCCAGCTCCTCTCCCCAAGCCTGGAGGCCCTGAGCTTTCCACCACACTTGGTTTCCCCCCACCCCGTAGGAGGGGGGAAAGGAAATAAAGGGGCACTTTCCCCCCTCCTCATCTTGTGCTCTGGCTCATTTCCCGACGGATAACACGGCACCCACAGACCATGGGGTCCCAGTGTGGAGGGGAAGCCAAGGGAGACGAACAGCAGCGGCGTCTGTCCCTCGACCTTCCCCTCTCCAGGCTCATCCAGCACCTCTCCCACCCTAAGCCAACCCCTCGCACCTAAAATCGAGGCAGGGTCTGTTAGAAAATGTGCCAGGGCAAAACAGGACGAGCTTTTGGGTCTTCTGGGTGAAACCCAGGGCGGCATCTCTGCCAGTGGAGGCACAGAGCCAGCAGGGACCCCCCGACAATCCACCCCGACATGGGTACCGCAGCCTGGCAGGAAAGAATTAAAGGCAGAAATAATTAATGCTCATCAGCCAGGTTTCACAGAAAGGAGGGCTGACGAGTGGAACCTGACACAGCTCTGCAGAGCTCAGGTAGCTGTCGGATCAGGATGCTTTAAAGGTGCAACGATCCGAGCAGGGAAAAAGAAGGTAAAAAAACCACATCCACGTGTCAGACGGAGCCACCCGCCGGGATTTCCACCCGGCAGAGGAGCCTGCAGGGAGATTACAAGGATTAAGGATGTTCCAACGCAAAGGGACAAAGCAAAACCCGAGTAAGATTTGCTTGAACACGTCCACGGCAGCAAGCCCTGTCTTGCTCAGGCAGAAAAGGGGCCAGAAAAGTGCAGGCGGCACCTCCTGCCTCCTCCAGCCGTGCTTTGGCACAAAAGCTGTCATTTTGG